AACAAAGAATAGGTTGAAATACTATCTTAAGTTACTTAAAGCACTTTTCCTTTGAGTATTGTTGTGGAAAAAGGGACCTAGACCCGTTCCCAGTGACCAGCCCAGAAAAGCATCCTTTGGGAGGCCATCAGCTCTCGGCTCAGCTTCTCAGTTGGCTACAGGACGACAAAAGGGGACAGTGGGAACGGGTACAGAGGAACAGGAGCAACCAGGCACCTTTCTGGCACTAACTTCTCTCCCCACCATCCAGCAGCAGCTTCAGAGCTACAAGTGGTAGCTGAAGATGCTGGAAAGAAAGGAAAGAAGCCCAGGAGCATAATCTGCCCCAGGACCCCCAAATCTCTCCCCCCACACACTCCTCTCACATTTTTTCCCTTTCAGTATGCTGTTACTCTTCCTGACAGCTCTGTCCTTGTTTCCTAAGCCTGTGTGACTGATGTCATTCCTGATCAGCAAGTTTTAAGGGTTTCTTGAGTTGGGTTGGCCTGAACATTGAAAAGTAGCTTGATATTATCATGCTTGCTCAGTCACCTGACTGGTGCAATCTGGCAAGAGCTTTAATGCCCAGAGGGTGGTCAGACAGCACATTGCAGGAAGTACGCACATCCCTATGATCAATCAAGATCAGTGAAGAAAGGCAGCACCGTGCTGAAAGGGCAGATGCTGAATAAAATACCCATTTATTTCTTTGAACTCAGTCTGCCTCTCTTAAACCACCCACTTGTAGGTGGGGGCACTGTGTTTGCTGCTAGAAACACTGGGGTAAATTCAGCTGCTGTTTGTTAGGAGCACGGGCACATCCAGCTGAGCTCAGGTCACACTGCAGCGTATCAGCAAAACTCACAGCATATTTTTAAATCCTTCTTCCTGCTCAAGATTTGCCTAACACTTGATTTAAGACTACAACAGTAAATAAAACAGTGCCAAGAAATGTTTCCCTGAACTGGAAAGTGCTCATTTATTCTGCTAAATTGTTAACATAGTTCCCAGCATAGTATTAGCCAACTCACACTCATGCAAACAACTCCCAGGCATGGTTTGGGAGTCAGCTCGGGAATCGCTCCTGATTTGCGGTTCAATTCCTGCTATGCAGCTGACCTGCTTGGAAGCTAAGTTTCACATTATGGCATGTGTCACCCTCTGCCAGCTGGCCTCAGTGACAGCAAATAGTCCTGGGCTTATTTAACCTACCAGAGTCAACGCAGTCATTATTGCTAAGTGCTTTCAGATTGCTCCAGAACAATAAGAGACACAGCTCCTACCTCAGATCACGTCCCACCTGGCTATAACCTCTGAGAATTGCTGCAGTCTTCACATCCTGCCCTCTGGAAATGATTCAACCTCTCTGCAACTCCATTTCAAACTCACAAGATGGGGCATAGCAGCACTGGATGTACCCGGTGCATGCAGGGTAGGAACTAAAGAAGAGAAAAATACTAGTATGAAACAAAAGTGACACTCGTGTAACAGAAACAGGGCCTGAGGTATCTTGACTTGTCTCTTTCCTGTGTTAAACTCCTTGCCAAAGCAAGGGAACTCCTTTACCAGTTCATAGAAGAGGAGGCAACACTCCAACACCAAGTGGAAATTTTCAGCTTGCCTTTACAGTTTTAGGGGAAAACTTGCTTAACAGAGAACAGGTTGTATTTGTTTTAAAGGGAGTATACTCAGACACAGGTGTTCCAGGAAGCTCAACAGGCTGCTGTTGCAAAAGTTCTTCCTTCTAAGTGCCTTCCAAACGCAACAGAAAGTGAATAAGCACATCACAAGATCAGGCTGAGCCCACAAAAATTCTGTTCCCCATCTCAACTCCTTGAGCAGCCTTAGCTCTACAAGCATATCTAAGATAACCTATGATCACAAGACAGTGCTGTAATGTACAAGTGAGAGGGGTAAAGTTCATTTATTCCATTATTTATTACAGGCATTTATACAATACCTATACCCATAGCAACACTTCATATGGCTGGGATTACCAGCAGTAACTATTCCCTGATAACACTGAGGCTTTATCAGGATAGAAATGGGAATTTTTTCCTGGCTGGCTGAACACAGAGGTCACTCAAACTTCCAGGTAGTGAAAAGGCGAGGAAAAGGTACCCTAATGCATTTCCTGAACACCAACAGGCTTTAGCTTAGACACGTTTCATAAATGAAAGTTTGGTCCTAGACAACCCTTTAAAGACTGCAGTTCTTCACCAGTATCAATGACAAGTTATTTGGAGCAGCTTAAATCTTAAAACCCTGAAGACCGAGAGCATGATTCTCCTTGTTTGCAGCTCTAGAAAACCACCTACGCTCCAGGAAGGGACTTTCCAACCGAGTTTTGCACCCATTTCATGCTGATGAAAAGAAACACATGGTTTGTGGAAGGGGAGACAGGCCCTCAGCACCTTAAAATCCTTCCAGTCTTTTGCCTTGCAGACTTTGTCTTGCTCACCACTTGAAGGGCAGCAGCAGAGGCTAGACTATCTAGATCTGACCTTCACCCACCTGAATACAGTTAAATTAGTTATCTAAATTCCAGTTGTACCTAAAACTGTGATACTAAAGAGACAGCTGCCACCTTGCACACTGGAGATGCTCCCAATATCAAGACACTGGGACCATAACATTTCAGGACACTTAAGAGCTGTGGCCCAGGTATCTGGTCAGGATGTGGGAACCAAACTCTCCCTCAGGCTTCAGCCTGGCAGGGACCCTTTGGGAATCCCCAGTACAAACCCACAGGGGTCCCCCAAAGAGCCCTCAGCTGCGCTTGCCATAAAATAGCTGCTCACAAGCATGCAAATGGCTGGAAGTTCAAGGGCGAAGTGGGGAAGCCTACATAAATTTCTCCTCATCCTGAAGACATACCTCTTTCCCCAGTGCCCCAATCCCGAGGCATGACCTCCAACTCACTTGTTGAAACGGTATCACCCCGCAGGAAGGAATCAAAACTCTTCCACCCAGAGAAGACAAGACAGAGCACGCCCACGTGCTAAATGCTCGGCTGGAGAAGTCAGCACCTCAGTTCCACTTCCTGCAACATCTCAAACAGGGGCCAGCCCTGGTTCTTTCCTCGCAGAGACAAACACTTCAACAACTAAACTAGAGCCATGCTCCTCCTGTGTTCTCTCTCTAGCCCAAGCAGTCCTGTGTCTCTGCAAGGACAGAACTTAGGAAGACTGACCTCCCTGCCCATGATAGCCTGACACTGGGTACTGTCCCAGGGAGGTGGAAGAAGGGGTTTAAGAGCTCTCCAGTCACTGAAAGAACTAAATTTTCTCTCCATTTCCTGAGCACGTTTTCTAATCTCTAGGGTATCACAGGA